GTCTGTAGAGCATTTCCTTAATTACTGATTGGTGGGGGAGGGCCCAGCCCACCGTGGGTGGTGCCACTCCTGTGCAGGTGATCATGGGGTGTATAACAAAACAAGCTGACCAGGCCATGAAGAACACGCCAGTAAGCACCACTCTTCCATGGTCTCTGTATCAGCTCCTGCCTTGAGTGGCTCCCTGTTGCCCAGGACGTCCTCTCAAGCTGGTTTGGTCCTGGTGTTTTATCACAGCAATAGAGACCCTGAGACATCCATGGAGGTCCTTGAGGTCACCACAAACACACTCCTTGTTGTTCCCAGAAGCTGCCACTCAGTATGTTTTCTGGGGAGTCCATGAGAATGGAAGCTAGCACTATTTTGATCTGTGGAAGTCTCCAGCAGTCATTCCTCGTGGTTCTGTTTCTGCCCTAGACATTGGGAAGAGTGGAGTCAGCTGGTTTTGTTTCTCCCTTGTGCCAAATGTTTAGAAACAAGAGCCTAAAAACATTCAGTCAAGAGTGGCAAATGGTCTATTACCTGCAAAGAAAAAGGGGAGCATCATTTTCCCTCAGCAGCCAAGTGCTCTAGAACTCTGTTACTGTCTTCCCTGGGGCAGGTAGGACCTCTAGCCACCAGTATCAAAACCCTACCCAGGAACCCAGCAGCTCAGGTGCTTTCCGGATGCTGTAGCACAGGAATGTATATATACACACACCCTCTCATACACAAAGTATGTTATAAAGCTCACAAAAAAAAACTAACATTGGCAAATGGATTATAAGGAAACACATTTATATTAGGTGTTAATGTTTTAATTTCTCTGGATACCACAACAAAACACAAAGTAGACAGCAGAAATTCATCTCTTTAATTCTGGGAGTTAGAATTCCACACCGGAGTTGTTCATCACTAGGTTTGGTGTCTGGGTCCACTCAGGTCACCACATGGTCTTTCTTCTGTGTTCCCACCTTTCTCCACATTTCCTTTTCCTGTGAGGATGTGTTCACAGGTATCGTGATAGAATTTAATTTTATATTCACTGCCTCAAAAAAAAATTTTGTTTCCAAAGCCAGACATGCCTTTAGTCTCAGTACTGGACAGGCAGAGGCAGGTAGATCTCTGTGAGTTCAAGACCAGCCTGGTCTATAAAGCAAGTTCCAGGACAGCTAGGATTGTTACGTAGAGAAGCTGTGTCTAGAAAAATCATAGAAAGAGAGAAAAAACTCTGTCTTAAAAAACCAAACAAAAAAAAAAATTTCCCCTGACACTTTTTTTTTTGCATATGGGTGGTTTGGCCCCATGTGTATCTGATCACCACACTATTGCATTGTCCAGAAGAGGGCCTCAGTTCCCCGGACCCGGAAATCACTGTGAGCCAACAAACAGGTTCTGAAACTGAAACCCTGGTCTTCTTGAAGAGCAGCAAGTGCTTGTAACTCCTGAGTCATCATGTCAAGGCTCTATCTGGGGGCTGGAAAGATGGCTTGGTGGCTAAGAGCACTCACTGGTTGCTCTTCCAAAGGACCCAGGCTTGATTCCCAACACCCACATGGAGGCTAATAACTGCTTGTAACTCAAGTTCCAAGAGGTTCTGATGCCCTTTTCTGGCCTCTGCAGGCACTGAGCACATATGTGGTACACAGACATACATAGGTACAGGCAAAACATCTGTACACATTAAAAAAAAAAAATTAAATATGCAAAGCTACACAGAGAAACCCTGTCTCAAAAAACAAAAAATCCAGAAGTTACTGGAAAAAATGTTTTAAGCATTACTCTATTAATAATGCTTTATCAATCTGCTTAATAGATAAAATATTTGATTTTTTTAATAAAATTCACACCAAGAAAAAAGTATGATGAATCTCTGTGAGACAGAAAGCAGGATCCTCTATTCCTAACACATGGGGCAGAGCTAGAGACACAGGAAGCATAAATGGCTTAACAGCATCAAATAAAAATGCATACAGGCTAAAATTTTGAGGGGTAAGAGCATGAAGGTACTGTTAATAATGGATTACTGTCTGTTGTATAAATCTGCACGGATTAATCAAATCTACCTTTATGTTTACCAAGCTCAATCCCAAGTAGCATGTGCACACACACACACACACACACACACACACACACACACACACACACTCTCTAGAATTTAAAGCCAGGGGGAAAATGAATTTGAAAATGAATAAAACAAGCCAGTGTTCAATTAGAAAGACCTCACTTCTGTGTGTGTGTGTGTAAATCATCTGTAAAGAGTTAGAACACCTTATTATCTATCAAAGGGAAAAAATATCCAACCAACCATAACTTTGTCTAATTCCACAGAGTTCATGCACCATTATTTTTGAGACAGCATCTCCATGTATATAGCTCTGGCTAGCCTGGAACTTGCTATGTAGACCAGGCTGGGCTTGAACTCAGATCTGCTTGGCTCTGCCTCCTCAGGGTTACAGGCCTGTGCCCCCAGGCCATTTGCACCAAGAATTCCACTTCCTGAGGTGGAGACAGCAAGAGTCGGTACGGTCCTGCAGACTGACCATCCTGGCGTCCTGGGGAAAGGAAAGCTGCATGGTCCATGAAGAACGTGTGCCACATCATCACTACGTTGTGTGAAAGACATTTCCTGAGGTGACACAGTACACAGTCTACTCACCCCAGAAAGGGAACCCACAACAGACCAAAGTCATAACTGCACCCGTCCTGACTGGTGAACCAATGACTTTAATTGGAGTTCCAGGAGTATGGGTAAGGGTGGATTACAGGATGACTGAATCAGCTGTAGCACTTAGAAGGCCACCCAACATGGGTGACAGGAAAGCTGCAACCTGGGGCTCTTACTACAACTCCTACACGTAGCCTGACAGGTCCCAGGAGCTGCTCTTGGCAGCTCAACTGGCCAGTCTCCTCGAGCCGGTGCTCCCTGCTGCTGCTTCTCACAGGGATTGGTGAGCCTTGCAAGTTTCAGTGTTCCCAGACAGAGGAAGTTTGTTTTCCTCCTCAATGTCCCCACCCTCTAGAGAATGCTACAATTTGAAAGAAACTGCTAGAAAACACGGGGACGGCCAGCTCTGAGGCCTATGACCTCAGCCTGTAGAAGTATATTCCCTGAGATTTTTGTGATGTGTGACTTCGTAGACATTACACCTCACGACTGGGAAACTCCCTGAGCCATACACACCTGCGGGCCTCCAAGTTAAAGGGCAGCTATAAATGATTGCCCTAAAGGAGTGCTTCAGCAGGCTGAGCTGGTTACAAATGCAAATCAATGCATCCTCTCACTGGGAATCCAGAGGCGAGGCCTAGGGACTTTGAGGAGCTCCTAACGTGAATTTTTGTTTTTGTTTTTTGAGACAGGGTTTCTCTGTGTAGCTTTGCTCCTTTCCTGGAACTCACTCTGTAGCCCAGGCTGGTCTCAAACCTGGCTCTGCCTCTCGGAGTGCTGGTATTAAAAGCATGTGCCGCCACCACCACCCGGCTGTGAATTCTTGCACACCTTAAACCAGTGGTTCTCAACCTTCTTAATGCTGCAATCTTTTAAATGCAGTTCATGTTGTGTTGACCTCCAACCGTAAAAATTTTGTTGCTACTTCATAATTTTGCTGTTACGAATCTGAAAAAAATCTGATGTGCAGGTTATCTGATATGTAAACCCCAAAGAGACCCACAGGTTGAGGACCGATGCCTTAAATCAACTAGGTAATCGGGAATCGAGCAGAAGAGGTGATTGTAGGAGCCAGAGGGGTCAAGGACAAGAAAACTCACAGAATCAACTAAAACCCAGGCTCATAGGGGCTTCACAGAGACTGAACCAACAACCAGGGAGACTGCATAGGACCTAGGCACTGTGCATACATGTTACAGTTGTGAAACTTGGTCTTCTTGTGCACTCCGAATAGTGGGAGCAGGGGTGGTCTTTGACTCTTGTGCCCGCTTTTGGGACTCTATTCCTCATACTGAGTTGCCTCATCTAGCCTTCAAGTAGATCTGCCTTGTTTGGTTGATATCCATGGAAGGCCTGGCCCTCTCTTGAACAGGAAGAAGAGTGGATGGGGGGGAGGTTGGAGGGTGAGGGAGGAGAGGAAGGAGGGGAAACAGCCGGAAGGTTGTTTAAAAAACAACAACAACAACAAAAAACCAGGAAAAAAGTACAAAGGGGCCGGACAGTAATGGTCCAAGCCTTTAACCCCAGCACTCAGGAGGCAGAGGCAAATGGATCTCTGTGAGGCCAGCCTGTCTACAAATCGAGTTCCAGGACAGCCAGGATTATTACAGAGAAACTCTGTGTGTGGGGGTGGGGAGGAGTACAAAGGGGGTAGGGAGCTGGAGAGATGGGTCAGTGGTTAAGAGCACTGAGGAGAACCTGGGTTCAATTCCCAGCACCCACATGGCAACTCCACCTCCAGCGGAATCTGACACTCTTACACAAACATACCTACAGGCAAAATACCAATGCACATTACCAAAGAACTTGGGAGGTAGAAGCAGACAGAACTGGGTTCAAGGCCAGCCTTGTCTACTAGTTCCAAGGCAGCCAAGGTCTACATCAAGACACCCTGTCTCAATAGCAACGAAGTACAAAGGCAGGAAGAGTTTACAGCGTAATGATGTCCTTTTGCCTAACTACAGGGGTAACTCGGGCAAAATGATGATTGCTTGAGCACAGGAGTTAGCCAGCCTGGGAAACCATTACCCCATCTCAAACACTTAGAGAACCATTTTAAGGCTGCTGGTGGTGGTGGTGGTGGTGCTGCTGCTGCCTAATCCCAGCACTTGGGAGGCAGAGGCAGGCAGATCTCAGGGAGTTCGAGGACAGCCTGGTCTACAAAGAGTTCCAGGACAGCCAAGACTGTTACACAGAGAAACCCTGTCTTGAAAACAAACAAACAAACAAACAAAAAGACACAAAAACAACAACAACAAAAAAAACCCACTTACCTTAAGCCATCCTCAAGAGCCTGACAGATGTACTAGAAATTGTAGGAATACAACCTACACGCACCTCACATCAACTGGGCTAATTTTTATAAATTAACTTTATTGCATGTGACGAAAATAACAGACAAAAAAAAAAAGCCATTTCCATATTGGAATAGTTCTACAAATTGCTATTTGCAAAGAAAGCAAACAGGTATCCACAAAGGCAGGAAAGAAAACAAATCTGTAGGGATTTTAAGAATCTATTTTTTTCTTCACCTCCAGGGGCTGAGGTGGGACCACCTGTCGGTCAGCAGGAGCCTCTTTCACCGGCTTAAGCTGGTTGTTTGAGGAACGGCTCTTCAAGAATTCCTCAAGTTGTTTCATCTTCGCAGCTGAAAGAGGATCAACACCAACAGTCAGGGGGAGGAAATGGTATCTAATTCCCTCGAGTTGGGAAGAGGAGGCGGCTCTAGCGTGGTTTTAAAGAGAAGGGGTCCTGGACCTGGAATCTGGGAAGAGTGTTGCCTAAGGCTGAGCTGGAGGGTGATGGGCCTGAGTGTGTGCGGCCAGCACTTGGGTTCTCAAGGGTCTCCTCCGAAAGGGATCCCCAGAGACACTCATTGCCCAGTGTTTGGAAACTGCAAGAAATTGTGAGAAAGTTTCCGGAGGCTGGGAGTCATCCCGTGGCTTGCTCCCCAGGTAGGTCTCCAAAGTCGCTCACCTCTTTGGACGTGGTGTTCTTTGTGCCAGGTCGCCAGGTTCGAGAGAATATTCTTCATTCGATTCTTTACAGAGGGTCGTCCATATATAGTGATTTCAGCCATCTTCCCAGAATCGACTGTATCCACTCTCAGCAAAGCCTGGCTTATCCACTCTATTTCTGAGATTAAGGATCGGTTTGGGCCTAAACAGATAAAGAGACTAAGCAGTTTTAAGTAGAATGGCTTCAGGTGGGAAAGAAGGGGCGGGCTCTGATGGGCTTGATGGACAGACTGGACTGGACTGGGGAACTGATTATGGACTTGCGGCCCCTATAGAATAATACAGGGAGCTAACCCAGACCCCTGTGGTGAGAAGCTCACCAAAGATCATTTCTGCCAGCCAGGCCTCCATATAGAGCACCAGAGGATTCTCGAGTTCGTGCTCTGGGAACCACCAGGGCCGCACACGAAGCCGCGGAGATGCAGGCGGAGCGCCGAGCAGCTTGTGCGAGGAAGGGTCCCGCATCGTCTCGGCGTGAGCATCGGTGGTATGGGGCCCCATGCTGGAAGGCTCAGCCAGCAAGCAGGAGTAGGTGCGGTACCTGGCTGCAAGCCGCGCTTTTCAAGGCTTGATCCGGCCACGCCCCCAGCCAGAGCGTGCAAGGCAAGTAGGTGGGCTGGGGCCACGGGGAGGGGTAAGGGTGGGGGGCGGAGGCGGAGGCAGGGGCGGACTCTTGCATCCTAGGCCTGCCCAGCATACTGCTGACCCTGAGAATTTGATTTGATGACTTGACTTAACTGACCTCCAGTGTTTTAGTTTATTCCGTGTTACTTTAAAAGACATGGGCTCAGGGCGGTCGGGCTAGTAGGGTCGATAGAATGTCTCTCCTGCTGTCTGCTGTCTTCTTTCACGGTACTGTATCATGTTTTAAACTAAATGGCAGAAGTGGTTATTGAAATACACAACAAATTTGACAAATTTCATTTATTTCTAAATTCCCAATTCATGTGTGCATGAATTTCTCCTTTCAGTCTAAACTGCCATCTCCTCTCTAGGTGTCTCCCAGTTAACTGGGGTCGCTATTGGGCATGAGGTAGAGATGTCCCTGATGCTCCCACAGGTCCATATATTCGTTTTAAGCTGTTCTCCTGAGATGCTCCCAGCTGAGGCTACTTCCCAAACACACAAGCCTGTATCACCCACACCTTGTCTCTTATTTTCAGACTCCCACAGGGAGCTGGAGCTAGCCACCGTGTTGTTTGTGGGCATCAGTTTTGTGAAGACGTGAGGAAGATAAGATCCCTGGTCTTTCTTATCTGGGCGCCAGTTGATTTGTGATTTCCCTTTATTTTGGAGGCAGAGTTTTTGGAATCCTAGTTTCCCAGGTATATATTACTGCATAGTACTTGCAGAACCCATCTCAGCCTCGAAAGAATTAGAATGTGTTTGCTGTTTAACAGGCCCTGCTATTCAGTTGGCCACTGTCTTGCCTCCAGGTGTTTTGGTTTGAATTTGATTAAGAGGAAAGTGGAGGTCATGTGACTATTGCTCCCTCATTTTCCCTGTAGCCTCATGTCTGCTCTTTAAACACTTGGTACCCGACCCAAACCAAGCAACTACAACCAGGACTTCCAGCAGTTTCATTTTCCCAGTTATCCCCCGGAAGGAACCAGCCTGAATGGGTTTCAGTTCAGGCAGCAGATTATGTGAGAGATTTATCCTTCTATCTTCTCTAAATTTTATTTTATTTTCCCAGAGACAGGGTTTCTCTGTGTAGCCCGGATGTCCTGGAACTGGCTCTGTAGACCAGGCTGGCTCCCAACTAAGAGATCTGCCTGTGCCTCCTGAGTGCTAGAATTAAAGGTACCACCACACCTGGCTGCTAATTCATATTTATTTAATTTCTTTTCATGTATTTTATGCACATTGGTGTTTTGCCTGAATGTAGGTCTGTATGAGGGTGTTGGTTCCCCTGGGACAGGAGTTACAGATAGTTGTGAGCCACCGTGAGGGTGCTGGGAATTGAACCTGGGTCCCCTGGAAGACCAGCTAGTGCTCTTAACCTCGAGCCATCTCTCCAGCCCCTAATTCGTATTTCTTAATTACTACAAATGAAGTGTTTCATTTTGACCTTTTTACATCTGTACAACATGTACTTTGCTTGTTCATGTAGTTTATGATGGTTGATAGATATTTTGGTAGGGATAATGCCATGGAGCAATCAATTTTGTTTTCTTTCTTTTTTTTTTTTTTTTTTTTTTTTTTTTTTTTTTTTTTTTGATTTTTTGAGACAGGGTTTCTCTGTGTAGCTTTGTGCCTGTCCTGGATCTTGCTCTGTAGACCAGGCTGGCCTCAAACTCACAAAGATCCACCTGCCTCTGCCTCCCAAGTACTAGGATTAAATGCATACACCCACCACACCCAAACTTGATTTGGTATTTACATTCACAACATTACATTTTGGGTTTTTTTGTTTGTTTGTTTTTGGTTTCTTGAGACAGGGTTTCTCTGTGTAGTTTTGATGCCTGTCCTGAATCTCAATCTGTAGACCAGGCTGGCCTTGAACTCACAGAGATCCGCCTAACTCTGCCTCCCAAGTACTGGGATTGAAGGGATTAAAGGCATGCACCTCCGCCGCCACCATCTGCAGCCACCGAGTTTTCATTCTTATCTTTTTTCTTCATACAGTTCACTTCCCAGTATGACACCTGCAGGGACTCCCTCACTTAGGGAAGAATAGCACATACGTAACACCAACAAAAATCACTCCTTCTTATGTGTGGTGCCGAACTTGAATAAGCACACTTGCCTGCAGAGCAGCCAGCAGTCCGATATCTCAGTAGGGATTGTGAGCTCACCCTCTGTGACCCGCTGCTGCCATGGTTATGTGATTCTGTATATCCATGCCACGGTGCCGCCAGTGCACTTTAGAGACGGCCCAGAGTGAGCACTGAGCATAGTGATCACACCTGTACGTTTGTTGGACTAGGACTAGGGTATGGGGAATTGCTGTTCAAACCAAGGTATGACTAAACTGGCCACTGAGTCCAGTCCCTTCTACTGTTCTGCTCAATAGTTTTCAGAATATCTTATTTAAATATTTGTTTTTAATATTATACACAGTATAATATTGGTTTACGTTATAACTTTGGTATTTGCTGCTTTTACAAAGCATTTTACTTTTAAAACTTAACATATATTTATCAACCCTCTTTTTGTTTGTTTTTATTAGCATTTTTGTTGTTTTTTTTTTATTTTTTATTTTTATTTTTGAGAAAGTGTCTCACCATGTAGCCCTGGCCATCCTGGAATTCATTGGTAGGCCAGGCTGGCCTCCAACTCATAGATATCCTCTTGCCTCTGCCTCCTGAGTGAGTCCTGGGATTAAAAAAGTGTGCCACCGCTCTGGACATGTTTGTCAATTCTTAGTTGGCTTCCACCTTCAAGCTTGTTCTTAATAGGTACACCCTTGTTGAGGTTATTGTACTGAAATTGTTAGTCTCAAAAACTGTAGTTACTCTGGAATGGTAGAGATGTTTTGAGGCATTTCACACAATAATGTATGTCTCTCTACATTTTTAGCACACACACCTCTGATTTTTTTGAAAGCTGTATTTTATTCAGTATAGTATAGACATATCCTTTCTACATGTGAGAAAGTTCCTAAGAATGTGTACTTTCTGTATTTCATTGAACCAGAAACAGTTACTTGATGCTTTGGGGGTTATCTGGATGCTAGGGATATAAATTATACTTATGTCAGGAACCCATGTCCCTCTTGAGCTACCATCAAATACTTCATTTTTGTTTGTTTGTTTGTATGGTTGGTTGGTTATCCAAAGAGTAGTCATTGTTTCAAAACACAAAAGCAGATAATGTGTAACCCTGGCTGTCCTGGTGTTATCTGCATATAGACCTGTGGTGTAGCTTTGAACAGGTCTGTTAACTCCTAATTGCCTTGGTTGTGTGTTCTGGAATGTTTTAAGATGTGTTACATGTGTTTATGCTGTGGAACATTTGTTTTAATGATGCAAAGATGTGTTGCATTCTTTTATGTTGTGTTTGTTTAACTCTGTGAAGCTGTGTTACTGTGCCTGTCTAAAACACCTGATTGGTTTAATCAAGAGCTGAACAGCCGGTAGCAAGGCACGAGAAAGGATAGGCAGAGCTGGCAGGAAGAGAGAATAAATAGGAGTGAGAAAGAGGAGGAGAGGAAGACTCCAAGAGCCAGCCACGTAGCTACACAGGAAGCCACAGAGAAAGAAGTAAAGATATACAGAGATAGAGAAAGGTAAAAACCCAGAGGCAAAAGGTAGATGGATTAATTTAAGAAAAGCTGGCTAGAAACAAACCAAGCTAAGGCCAGGCATTTTTAAGAAAGAATAAGCCTCCATGTGTGGTTTATTTGGGAGCTGGGTGGCAGGCTCCCCAAAGAGCAAAAGAGCCAAAAGAATAAAAACCACCACCAACAGTTGTGTTGTGTGGTTTAGTTTCCTAACCTTGCTTCAGAGCTCTGTCACAAAGTTGAGCTACAGGCTTCTCTATGATTTGTCCAAAGGCAACACATAGAGGTCCTCATATTACTGATGTATTCATCATATAATGTGGTGGGTTTTCACAGATCTCGGGCTACTAAACATTTTAATACATAATACTGATTGGCCAAGGTTTCTGGATCTATCTCATTCAAACTAATGTCTACTGACATGGTCAGTCAATTGGAACATTCTACAGAATAATGCTGGCCTTAATTTAGGAGTAAATTCTGAGTGCACTCACACCAACACAGGCATCATGTTTAAACTTTTATACGATTCTGTCTAAACAAGTGTCTGAATGAAGTTAAAATGGCTGCTTACAGGCCAAGCAGGCATATGTCATAGAAAAACAATGGCCCGAGAATTTGGAGTCCATGGCTTTAGTCTGTGACTCATGATAAGCTGTGAGGTGGATGGCAAGATGCACCAATAGCTATACTTCCTGAGCATTTACCCTGCATCCTTCACTTTAATTACATCACTTATCAATCACATGTCTATTGAGGACTATGTGTATTTCCTGGGTAGAGTAAGAGATGCAGACATAAATGTACCCTAGCTCATGTGGGAATACATGCATGTATCCATCAATGATGAACTTTAAACTGCTAACCTGTGCTCATCACTGCGCTGTGGGGTTATTAGTCACCACACCAGAGGTACAATGGAACCCACTATAAGAGCTTTTATTAGGGAAGGGAAAGGGTGAAGGTGGGTAGGCCTACCAAAAAGAAAGGGGGTGGAGGGGGAAGGAGCGGGAAGGAGAGGGAGAGGGGTGCGTGCTACCTCTGGCAAGAGGCGGAGAGAGCAGATAAGGTAGAGCCTGCTTTTGTAGTTCACCTCGCCCAGGTGTTTAAGAGCTTACCTACCTATGCCACGCATGCGCATAGATTATGTGATCACACTGTGTGTGTGCAGATACATGACCACACTCATGGATTACGTAGCACTATGGCCCTGGAGTGACTAAGCATTTTGCCTGGCCTCTGACAGCACATGCATGGTCACGTGACTCCAGAAGTAGCTAGGAATAATGACAAGCAGCACTCATGTAGACCTGGGAATAAAGGACATCAGTGGTCAGCAGAGGCTAGCTGCCCATCCTGCCCCATCTCACTGTGAGGTGGCTGGTCAGAACCTGAATAAGCATGTCACACAGAGAACAGAAGTACGTGCATGGCACAGGAAAGAAAGAGCTGGAGAAACTAATGACAGATGGCTTGCCGGAGATCTGTTTTGGTGGGGTTGTGGGGCTGTGGCTGTGTGGTTCAGGTCCCAAAGAGGATGTGTGGAGTCGGCGGGGAGGGTGGAGGAGAACGGACCCAATCTGAGGGTGAAGCAGGATGGCTGCCGGCAGTGTTTAACTGAAAAAAGGCTACACCTTTTCTACTCTATAGTGGCACACAGGATTAAAAGGGAGACAAGGAGCATGTGAGCTGGAGTGTGGCTTGAGATCAGGGGTTGAGGAATCCAGCACTGACCTTGACAATAGGCACCAGTCATGTGTTAATGGTAGGGCCACAAGTTCCTCTTGCTAGAGATAAGAAGAATGACTACTTTATCAAGCAGAAACTTTCCTCAAGCCCCCAAGGGAAGGGAGAACCTTATCCAAATGTCTGACCTTGGGAAAAGGACTTCTTCTGGGGAGAAGACTATACTACAATTTCTTTTATTTATTTATTTATTTATTTATTTATTTATTTATTTATTTTTATTTATTTTTACAATTTCTGAGTCTTACTATATGGACCTGTTCCCCCCATAAGGCTCACAAAAGGGAGGGTCCTGATGTCTTACTCTTTTCCCATTATACCTTACCATTCTGGTTGCTCTACAACATTTATTAACTGAACTCTTGCCCTTAATGGCCTCAGGCTCTGTATCTGAATTGTAGACATTTCATCCTTGAGATCAGGTATGTCTAGTAAATCTCTAACTTTCCTGTTCTTGGTGTAATTAGGAGGGTATTTTGGAATTTCTGGTTCTGTGGTGACAGGGATTTTTTTTTCAAAGAATTATTTTGTTTAGAGAGGCTGACATTATACACATTTTTTTTTTTACCAAAAATAATTATATGTTTATGATACAGGGAACAGGACATGGCACAAAGTAAATAATAATTGTCACCTTTTATTGTTATACAATAGACATTTTGTGGGGTTTTTTTGGAGGGGGCAGTATCTCTGTAACTAAGGCTGGCCAGGAAATCACTTTGCAGTCCAGGCTGGCCTTGAACTGAAATTAGCTTTCCTGCTTTAGCCTCCCCAA